TTGAGCCACAGGCACCGAACCCATGTTTTCTTTTCTGCACATCCCTTATCAGAGGTTTCCTTGCTTGTTAGTCTCACAGGTCAAGCACTGCAGATTCTTGCAAATAAGGCCTTGTCTGCCCTGAGCATCCTCATCCTATTCCCAGTGCAGTCAATTTGCATGAAGAATCATGACAGCCTCACCTATGAGAGTGCAATTCTGGGGAACTGAAACTGTCAGATTCATCTTTGAAACTCTAGTGTCTAAAGGGGAACACAACAGAATCTGGCCCTTCTCAAACAATACCAGAATCTCCAGAAGCTAAGGCCGGGAGGTAAGGTTTAAGGAGCAATGAAGAGGGCAAGTAAAAAGTTCCCTCTTTCTTCTTCTCCTTCCATGTGACAATGAAGGGCTACAGAAAAGTCCTTAAGCAGCCCAGAATATCACCATGTTGCCTACTCATCAGGTTCTTCCCTGATTGGCTCTGTGAGAACAGCTCATATCAGTGGACTGACTTCTCTCAAGCTACCACTGGTACTTACATTTTGCTTCTTTAATAAAAATAAATCATACTTAACACTGCAGGAGTACTTCTGTAATGTAGACCCAAGAACAATTAAAATTTTACTCTGAATTGGAGGTTTTCTATACAGGCTTAATTTGTACTAGGTGGAAGATCTGCCACCAGATGACCAACAGAGGCTGGGCCTGTTGAGGCTTAAATGGAAGATTATGCCTTAGTATGAAATTCAGCTTTGCTTTAGTAGGGCCTGGATCATAACAGGTGCTAGTTGACAGACTAGTTCCTCAAGGTCTGCTTTCATGCCCAACACAAATGACTCTAGAAATACTGAACAATTCAATGTGGTTAAGAAGTTACACAGAAAAATTATGTCTTTTGTATTTTTGTGTGTTTTTGTGATTATTCAAGGAATGTAGACATTTTTAAATGCTCAAGGACTACCAATTGCATTTCTAAAAGCAATTGCTACCTATATTTTGACACTGGAGAGATTTATTCATTTAAAAATTTGCCCTGAGTATTTCAAATTCTGCCTGGAAAATACAAGTGTAATGAAACATTAGTGCTGCCTTTCTGTTTCATATATACATGTTATGTATATATTATATATAGTTTGAGGCTATAGTGAGCTATGATGACACACACACATGCATACATATATCTCAAAACATAGTTACTTTTAATGTTACTTTTAAATTATACAAATAATACATTTTCAGTATAGGAAATTGGGAAGATACAGAAGAACAATCTATATCCTTCCAGAGTTTTCCCTTTGGCTATATATTATATATATTTTTTATATATAAAAAACATATCTCCTGCCCTCAAAAACAACAAACAGAAAACTGTGAGCGCAGGGGCTCACATCTATAATCCTAGCACTCTGGGAGGCCAAGGAGGGTGGATTGCTTGAACTCAGGATTTTGAGACTAGCCTGAGCAAGAGGAGACTCCATTCTACTAAAAGTAGAAAATCTAGCTGGGTGTTGTGGCAGGTGCTTGTAGTCCTAGCTACTTAGGAGGCTGAGGAAAGAGGACTGCTTGAGCCCAAGAGTTTGACTTTGCAAGCTACAATGATACAGCACTCTACCCAGGGCTACAGAGGGAGATTCTGTCTCACCAATAAAAAAAAAAAAAGTAAAAAACCCCAGGAAAAATAAGGGCAGACGGCTCGGTGCCTGTGGCTCAAGTGGCTAAGGCGCCAGCCACATACACCTAAGGTGGCAAGTTCGAATCCAGCC